AAACAAAATTCAAATGGAGCAAAAAAAATCAAACAGAATCCACCCCAAAATAGCGTTGACCCCCCCCCCCCCACACCACCACCAACAGGCCCCCAACGGAACTGCGTTGACGCTTCCACCCACCCCCACCCCACCCCCCGCCCCCGCCCAACAGGCCCCAACGGACCTCCTACCAACTCCTTCAACAGACTCAAAATTGAAATAATAAATAAGTAAAAACCCCCCAAACAGTCCAGACAAACCAAATCCACAACAGAACCCACACGGATCCGCCCCAAGCAGCGCTGACGCCTCCCCCCCTCCCCCCACAGGCCCCAACGGAATTCCTACTACCCGACCACCTCCTTCAACAGGTTCCGGCGCAACGAACGCGAAGAGTAAGTAGCACGCCACGCCCCCCTCCTCGCTGTCTGGGCGGGGCGAGGCAGCGTGGCTCTCGATAGAGAAGTATTGGTGGTTTTCTCTTTTCATTCTCTTCTATTTATTTGTTTTATTTTCATTTACATTTTTTTGAGATTAGAAATAGGGTTTTTTTTTTTTAGGGGGAGGTGAGAGGGAGGGAGAGGGGAGGGAGGGTAGATTCTTGTGTGGGGGGGATGGGGTTTGGGTGTTTGTTTGGATAATGGGGGGGGGTGTTGTGTTTGTGTGTGTGTCTATGTGTAAACAAAACAACTAAAGGAAGAACAAGAAAACACGATCATTCCGAAGGCCTTTTTGCTGCATTGCTTCTTCAGAAATACAGAGATATATTTAACAAAATATGCAAAAACTCGTGATTCAGCGAGCAATGACCTTGGATAATTCGCGTATTGCAGGTGCGCTAATTATGCTGCCAATTTATTCAATTCATGCTGCTTCTGCCATCTTCCTTTGCCATAGACGAAGCCTCTTCTGACCATGAAAGCTTTGCACCACAGGCAGGTGAACGTCGATTTGTAAAAGATAAAAATCCCTCCTCGCCCCCGTGCCGGTCAAGAGGTTACAAAACGCGTCGCTTCTTCGAGTCCCACTCTTGCACTCCCTGTTCCCTGTCAGGCCTAGCGTCAAAGCCGGGTTAAAGCTAATCCAAAAGAAACGCAGGATTACTCTAGGCGTCCCGACGTAGACGGATTCTCAGTCTCATACATGGAGGTAAATCTTGTCCCTCTGGTGGTACAGCTCTTTGCAAAGCCGCCTATGAGCCCTTGGCTACGGATCTAGACTAAGAACTCTTTGCAAAAACAAAAACAAAACAAAAATCGGGTATCAAAGCTACCACGATGCCCAAATGATACCCAAAGAGCAGTTGCTTGCTCAGGCATGGATTTTTCCTATCATTGCTTTGTCGCACCTTCGCCGTAGGCACAATGAGCTTGGCGGTGGAAGAGAGTCACTCCCCGATTCAACTGAGAGTAGATACAGAAGGGAACATTGCAACAACAGCTCCCCTGGGTAGTGTGGATGGATCAGTCTTCATATCACCCGCAGCGTAGCCATTGGATTTGTAACATGGGACAGTTTGGTATCCATTCGGATATCAGACAATGCTTCATCATTCAGTTATAGGAGCCTTAGCCCATTCATGCCAGAGAGTAGGATATGTAACACATGCCGATTCTAAGGCTTCCATTGACAGCCTGGGGCGCTGCATGTAGGACACATTCCCAGCCACATCGTTATCGTGGTAAATGAGCTGGCTAACAGACCGATGAAACTGGCAAGAACAGCCCCTGAATTAACTAATCTAACCAAATCAAGAGCTCTTAAGATGCTGAGCAGCAATATAGAAGAAGTATGAACCTCCAGTTCATTTAGATGGCACACAAACACCACAGATTATGAGTAATTGGTACTCTTTGTACCATCAAAGGTGTCAAAGCTATTTTTCACAAAAATAGGTTACCAATGTGCATGGCAGATGCTAAACACTGAATATGCTAATCAGTGTTGCGAGCATTGTAGCGTGCAGGATGCCATCCTGTCACGCTATCCTGGACAGAGACCACCATCGCCTCCGCCTTGTAGGTGACGTTAAGCCTTTTGCTTGCCTGGTGGAGGCTGGAGTACCTAGGGGCAGTCTGACCACAGCTGTAAGCACTCAGTAGTGATGCATGGATGAAATGGCTATGTATAAGTGAAACACACAAGGCCTCATCTATACAAGGCCAGGTCAGACCATGACTTTGTATACCTTGTTGCAGCTACTGCAAGGTATGCAGTATTCCTGGTTGAGATCAATTATTGACTAACGTCTCAGGTGGAGAATTCCGCAACGGCAACAGGAACTCTTGCCTGCATATCCTAAGTATTTGGAAGAAACCAATGACAATGCCTTCTTTAGTTCTATTGTTGTAATCAGGGTAGAAATTAATGAACCTGTGTGTTGGTAGATTTCTTATATAGGAAGTAACTAGGCCTGTTAGACCTAGGAATGGCAGCCAGTAATTTCGTTCTTCTTCCTTGGTGAACTACATGGGATACATGTTCAGTCATTGACAGATATCATACAGATTAATCTTAG